CACACACACACACACACACACACACACACACACACACACACACACACTATGATAATCAGTAGCAGCGGTATTCAAGTGAATATGAATTTTAACTCTCAAACATGTGAATGAACTTCGGCGACCTAGGTGCAAGTGTATTATTCAGATAATACCTAATGCTTGTATATAACCTTTCAACAGTTTCTACAACCACTCATTATCATCAGATTCACTAATCGGTGAGATAGGCTGGGCTCGGAGAATTCCCCCCATTTTAAAGATGAGGGAACTGAGGTCAAGAGAAGTCAATTGATTTGTCCATCGTCATGCTGCAGCTAGGTGGCGCAGTGGATAGAGTGCTGGCCCTTGAATCGGGAGGACCCGAATTCAAATTCCTCCTACGACACCTACTGTGATCCTGAGCAAATCACTTCATCTTGTTTGCCTTAATTTCCTCATCTGTAAAAGGAGTTGGAGAAGGAAATGGCAAACCACTCCGGTATTTTTACCAAAATAAGCCCAAATGGGGTCAAGAGGAGTTGGATGTGACTTAACATACTATTAGTAACAAGTGGCCTTTAACCCGGGTTTTCTGCAGCTTGGGACAATGACCTGTGTTAGACTCTACTGCCATTTCTGTATATTAAGTAACAGGTGCTCCACAATCCACTGAAAGCCTCTGAAGGTATCTTCAGACTATTACATCAAATATAGGTAAAGTGGAAGTCAGGAAAGGGAAAGACTATGAAATACTTTCTTCTATGGAAGTTCTCTGAAAAGAAACATTTTCCCAGTTATTCTCTTAGATCAATTCCTTAATATAATAATAATTTATCAGTGTTATGACAGTGATTTATCTCTGTAGGGAATTAGGATCTGTAAAATCTGGTTCTGATTTTTATTTTTGTGCCTAAGCAGATCTAGGGCTTTTCATTGGCAGGAATGTTTTAACATCTAACAGCAAAAGATGATGAATCAGCCTATTAAGATTTGCAACAAGGAGGGAGGAAGATTGTGTTGAAACATTAAGGAAGTAGGCTACAGTATATATCTGCATTATTTATAATGTATCCCACCTCTTCAGCTGTTCCTGTCCATCTTAAGCTTCTCTGTTTATCTTTAGCAGGCCTCTTTCTGATCCTGTTTAATGTTTTACGTTCAGTAGCTTAAAAAGACTCTTCTTTCTCATTTCATTACATAATTTAAATCATTTTGCTTTTCTTCATTTGCTTAAAAAAAAACATGGCCTTTTGAAGAATGACAACTTTGGTTTGTCTATATTTAAAACATGCAATATGAAAAAAAAATTAGCATTTTAATTATGGGCCACATGTTAAATGACCCTCAGCCCTTAGGAGATATACAGCGTTAGCATTATAAATGCAAGTACAAATCAGCTCATATGTAGCAGTCAAGACTCTGTTACGTCAGCAAATAATTAAGCATGTCAAACAGCAGGCTTACATGTATGAAATCAACTTTGTCCAGAAAGTGATTTGTATTTAACAATCACTTCAGATGCTATTTTTTTCTACTTCTTTAAATGTTCTTTCACATTTGACAGCTCACTTTAGCCTGTATATCAGTTTGCTACATTTCAATACTGAAGAGGCTTTCCAAGTTAAGATTTTTCAACTTGAACTCAGTCACTTAGAACAGCTGTACTTTTAAAAAAATTAATTTGATCTCTATAATCTTCATATAAGAGGCTTTAAAACTTTCTACCCAGAAATTGGTAAATATTTGACAATTATACCCCATCTTATTTGTAAAAAATTGTCATTTACATTTCACAGGGTTGTTGATGGTCAGCAGCATCTGATTCTTCATGTTTTTATGGACTATCACCACACCAGACCCTTCTATCCTCCACTATCTCCCAAAGTGTATCCAAGTTCACATTTGTTGTTTCCATACTATCTATCCATCTCATTCTCTACCATCCCCTTTTCCTTTTGCCTTCAATATTTTCCAACGTCAGGGTCTTTTCCAAGGAGTCCTATCTTCTCATTATGTGGCCAAAGTAGTTAAGCTGCAGCTTCGTTATTGACTGACTTTCCAGTGAGTAGCCTGAATTAAATTATTAAGTATTGACTGATTTGATCAATCCTTGCTGTCCAAGTGACTCTCAAAAGTCTTCTTTAGGACTAGAGGGATTCAGTGAGAGCTAAATGAATATATGCAAAATATTTTGCAAACCTTAAATCAGTATAATAAATTTCAACTATTAATTATTAAAGGTACTTTCTGAATTCTAGTACTGTGAAACTGCTAGAAAATACTAAGAAGTTTCAGGCAGCACTGTTTAAAATGACTATCTAAATTCTTAGGTTCCTGATTAAAACAATGGGTCTGTTAACACCCTAATTCATTCTGACAAGATGTCACATGTAAATTTCTTTTTGCTACAATCTGAGTCAAGAGCCTTCCAGGATATGTATTTTCTTTTGTGGGCCTTTTGAAGAAATAATTTAATGCTTGTAATGAAAGATTTAAGAAAATTGTTGCTTTGTTTCCCAAATGGTATTGACCTTTTCAGCATAACAGCATATTTTAAGCTGGTATTGACTGGACTCAAAATACCTGCAAACTTTAAATTTAAGCCTTAAATTTTAGTTATCTCAATCACTACCTCACTAGAAGTCTGGTGCTTAATTTCAAATGAAAGTTACTAATAAATTTGGAAATTATTTGAAATCTGAAAAACATGTTCTAGGCACTGCCTGCCCTTCTAAGCATGTAGGTCAGTACTGTCGAGCATATTGCAACAGTAAAGGATCCTGATTCCAAAAAGCTAAGAGAAAATGAAAACATCATGTTGTTACTTTTTCCTGTCATGAATAGTGGTATATAATAACAATATTCACATATAGACTGCAAATGGAACACTAGCATCTCTGATAAACTTCTAAGTATGAAGTGAAATGAGTCTGGAACTTTTAATTTCATGACTGTTTAACCAAGTCAACTCTACCCTCAAAAGAAAGGGCTAATCTTGGCCTTGGTAGTTTTGGTCCCTTTCTTAGCATCATAAGGGATGAGAAAGACTAGGACCATACAGAAGGACGACCTAGAAAGTAACAACAGCTGGTTCATTCTTGCAGCTTGCCCATGTTACAGCTGTCAGTTCTGTAGCTAGTTTCCCAACTCTGTCTTGGAACTGTCTTAGATATGGTATTTGAGAAATCATGATTTGGAAGAAATATGTGCTCCTTAGATCATACAACAAAGAAAAACCATTCTAGAAAGCAAGTCTTCATGTTTGTAAACATGATATTTTATTAGTAAAATGTGTACATCCATTCACAATACAACATAAACCTGCAGTGATTTAGCACATCATTCGTTACATTATAAAAGTTTGTAGATTGACTCAGCTGAAACAATGTAGTTTAAGATATACCAAATCAACTTTTATTTGCAAACTACCTACCTATGGTATGAGTATAAACAGAAAAATCTTACAGCAATCAAAATCCTGGTTTCTTGGTCAGCTTCTATAAACAATACAGACATCATACTAATGTTTATACATAGACTCTTAGGTCCAGCCTAAGATAAAGACTGTAAAAATAAAGTTTCAAACCATTCATATAAGCTTGGCAACCATCACTACAATATTTCATCACTAGTAATCGAGCTACATGTCATGCAGTAAAGCAATAGCTGTAGATCTGTGCAGTTTAGAGTGCTACAAAGCAACTATAAACAGCTTAATTCTTTTTTCATTATGCTATTATAAAAAGGCACAAATATCTTAACCCTTGCATCAGACTTTGGAAAGGCATAACATTCATAGGAGAAAAAAAGATTTGCTGGTACAAAGGGCTAACTTTTGATCAACATTTCAAGATCTAAATTCAAGACAGTTTTGGGGGGGAATATATCATACTTAAAATACTCTGCTAAGAATTAAGCTAACTTTTGACATTTGAAATTACTCTCACTGAAAGTGAGAGACACTTTAGAAAATAGAGTAGATGGTGTGCCATAATTTGGTGTTTCTCACACCTCTCTGAAAACAGCGAAATTCACTTAAAATTAGCCTCCACGTTTTCTGACAATGATAGTTGCTTCTTTAATCTTCAGTTGGAAGGAGCTGTTAAAAAAGTTTACCACTTTAAATCACATAAGGCAGCACAGTGTGGAATGTCAGGACAATAACATGTTTGAAGGTACAATTGACCTTTAGAGGAACTTTCACCATAAGCATGTGAATGTTAATAAAATAAGGCAAGAAGTATATTTTACACAGAAGGCAAGAGGTAAAATTCTTTAGTACAGAGGAATGCTAAACAATCTTGTGAGGTTCCCAAAAAGTAAAGACCATGACTAGACTTAAGTCAGAATAAAAGGTTTTATATTATAGGACAATAAGGCTCTGTCTACACAATGCCACAACTGTTTGCAAATGAAAATTCAGCCAAGCAGTTGTTTTCTCTTATTGAACATCAACAATTAGTGTGAGAATTTTTTTGTGTGGATAAGTTGCACATGTGGAAACTAAGATTAGCAGGTTCTATAATTACGTATACTAAAACAGGAGGATAGAAGTTAAAATTTGCCATCAAGAACAACAGATGGACCTGTCCTTTTCATCAGTAAATGGGAAAAAATCTATCTATAATACACCTAGTTTTACTATAAATTTAGAATATTAAAAATATATATGATTTGACCCTATGACCACAGGGTCATTGAATATCAAAACTGGAAGGGACATAAAACTCACAAATCAAATATAGACAGAATTGACACATTTCCAAAACATGAAATTAAACCTAGGTAGTTGTGATAAATATTCATTTTAACCCCAAAGTTTTACAAATTTAATGAAAGGATCAAAGGTAGATT